TGAAGGCGGATAGACTGCCAATTGTCGACTTGAAAGTGCATCGGGTGCGGTGAGATGAAGGAATAGAGAATAGCTGTGTCGAGGTCGGACTTGTAGAGGTGTATCCCGTAGGCGGAAGCGGCATGAAGGGTGGCGTTGCCAGCTAGAACGGTGGCTAGCCGCGGTGCCGCCGCACACTTAGCCAAGGCAGCGAGGTAGCGAGGAGGAAAGAGGCCGAGACAAGAGAGAACTGGATTAGCAGATTGCAATATAGCCCAAGGCTGATAGAGTGATAATACGACTGACGAAGAAGAGCATTAGTAGCTAAGTTGATCTGAAGCCCCGCCTGGGGTGTGCAGGAAGCTGTAAGAGAGGAGGAAGCTATTTATCGCGGATATATTACGCTGTGAGGGTGGCGAGGGCATCTGGGCGAGTTGAGGTTAGATGGATTGTGCCATGTAACGGCTTGACTGGCCTAGAATTACTAAAATTTGACAAGTGTCCAGACTTTTCATCTTTCGTTACCATGTTTCAATTTGATCTTCTAAATCTGTTCTATAAGAAATTGCAATTTACGTTAGGATATGCTCCTTCAAGAAAACCCCCAAAAGACTCAAAAACGCCTCTATCTTGCTTGGTGTGAAATGCTCTAATTCCTCCCTTTTTCCCTTCGTCCATCATCTATACCCACACGCTGCGGAACTTGCATCTGTGCAAGCCCTCTGTTGCAAGGTGACGTGTGTGTCGTACATGATTCTTCCATGTAACCCAATTTTTGTGTATTCCAGAAACCCAAACCGCCCTCGTCCCTCTATATCCACGCCGACTTTTATTTCCATGTGAACCATCTACCGCGATAAACCATTCTGATTTACTCGTCTTCGTCGGTGTCGACAGGATGAGGGGTGCCCTTGGGGCTGTTGAGCCATTCAATGTGGCGCAGGCGGCGGCGGACCTCACGCTCCTTGAGCTCCTTCTTGGTGACCTTGCGCTTCTTCTTGGCCTTGAACTTCATGTCCGAATTGTCCTCGTCGCCCGAGTTGACGGCGGAGGAGACGACCGAGTTGGCAGCCGTGGAAGCGACGGTGGAGGGCACGGCACTGGCGGCGCCGCTGGCCGGGTTGCTGCTGTCCTCGAACCGGTCGAGGCTGATGGCGGCGGTGCCGCGCAGGGCGACCTTGCCGTCACGGACGTGCCATTGCTCCGAGCACAGGGCGCCGACAAACTCCTCGTTATGCGAGATGAGGATGACGCCGCCCTTGAACTCGCGAATGGCGACGGCGAGGCCGCCGAGCGAGTCGCGGTCCAAAAAGTTGGTCGGCTCGTCGAGGACCAGCAGATGCGGGTTGTTCCACATGGCGCCGGCAATGACGACCTTGACCTTTTGACCGCCCGACAGCGAACCAATCTCGTTGTGGTTGGCGATTTCGGGGTCCAGGCCGAGATCCTCAAAGTGCTTGGAGATGACCGAGGGCTGCAGCTCGCGGTAGCCCAGACCCTCGCGAGACGCCTCGTGGTCGTCAAACTCCTGCATGAGCTTGTCGAAGCCGAGCTCGACGAGCGTCTCGCGGGATACTTGCGAGTTGTACTTTGGCATCAGGCCGCGCCACTTGACCTCATACTGGAACGTCTTCTTGTACTTCTGGCGACCGACAAGAGCCTCGATCTGTCGCGCGGATGTGCCGTCTAGGTCTACCCACTTGTCCAGCTGGGCGCGGTCGGCGTCTGAAAGGACACGAGTTTGCTTCATGTGGACCTCGCGGTCGTCACCGTGCTGGTAACGCCACTGAAGGTATTGGTTGGGAGTCTTTTCCAAATGCATCTCCACGTGCTCAAGAGCGTGCTGCTTGATGTAGCCGATGCGAAGGTTTGGGTGCTTCTCGACCCTGCCAGTGTTGGGGACGGCTTCTCCGGTAAGCAGCTTGATGAGGGTCGACTTGCCGGCACCATTGGGACCGATGATGGCAACGCGGGAAGAAAGCGTCAGCTGGCAAGATACCTCTGAAAGGGAAGGTTTGGGGGAGCCGGGATAGGCATAGGAGACGTTGCTCATGCGGATGATGGCGCGAGTTTGCGACTTAACGCCAGTCAACATGCCCGGAGGCGGGAACTTGAACTGGACGTTGCTAGCAGAAAGCGTGTAGTAGCTCTTGGCCTCGGGCTTGATCTCAACAAACTTGGACAGGTTGCCCTTGTAGCAGGCCAGCTTCTTGTTTGGCTCGTAGTGGTAGATATCAGTCGTGACGTTGTCGAGGAAGCCAGAGTCGTGAGAGACAATCAAGCTGGTGATATCCGGGTGCGACTTGAGGTAGTTTTCTAGCCAGGCAATATTTGTGACATCCAAGTGGTTAGTAGGTTCGTCAAGCAGTAGCACGTCGGCCTTTTGCAGCATGGCGCGGGCCAGGGCGAGCTTCATCTTCCAACCTCCCGAGAGCGAGCCAACCTTGTGGCTCTGGCGACCTTCAGGGCCAGCTGTGAATCCGACCTCTTCCAAGACTTCGGAGATGCGCTCGAGACCCTGAGGTCCAATTTCGGGGTCTTTGGCTACAAAATCCAGAATACTGATATCGGCATCCTCACCCTGATTATGCTCAACGTAACAGGTGCGCAGGACGTCCTGAGGAGGGAAGCCCTCAAGCTTTCCATTGGCAATGCTTCTCATGAGGGTAGATTTACCAGCGCCGTTGCGACCACAGAGACCATAACGGTGGCCCTTGAGAAGTCTCAGGTTGGTGTGAGATAGCAGCAGCATACCACCATAGGCCAGAGAGAAATCGGCATTGACAATCTCGACCTCGCCGTCGTCTTCCTTTTCGGGTGCGCCGAAGCGGCGTTGGTCCTCCTCAAGGTAGAACTTCTGGATAGCATCACCGATGGCAGCAGGAGCTTCAGGGTCCTGAACCAGGTTGTGCAGATAAGGCGTGATGCGAGCAGCAATGCGAGTAACAAAACGGAAGTTGACGTTGGTTGCAACCATGCCACACAGATAAGGCTGAGCCAGCTTGTAAAGATCGAGTTGGCCGGCGAGGCCGCTATGCTTTTGAATCTCTGCATCAAGGACCTTGGCGACATCTTCAGGTGTGGTGCGGGCAATAATGTCGCCGTCCTCACCCATGGCCGTCTTCATGGTATTAAGAGCGCGCTCAGCAATCTCACGAACTTCAGGGAGAGCGGCGCGGTCGCACACACGCTTGACACCAGGAGTCAGCTTGGGAAGGAAAGTACGGGCCTCAATAGGATCGTGGACGAGCTTGGTCAAATTCTCTACAATGACGACAGTCTGGCGCAGAACTTCCTGGGCAGTGTTGGGACTGTTAAGCGACCGCTCGAGGAAGGGAGTCAGCAGCGCAAGAACGGGCGATGTGACAATGGCAACAAAGGTAGTCTGAGAAAGGGCGTGAATGGCCTTCTGCAGCGTCTGGGCCGAAGGGTGCTGCATGGTGTCGACAAGGAGGGGAATGCGAGGCGCAACGTCGTCGTTGGAGAGAAGGCCGGTGAGGGAGTTCATGGTCTGGACAGCCTGTTTCTCGACCTCGGCCTTGAGGTCATGCATGCCCTCTTCGACGATGGGGATGAGGGAAGCGAGCTTGGCGCCCATGGCTTCGCGGAGAACATCCTTCTCGGCGGCTTCCTCCTTGGTGGTGCCGACAACAAATTTGGACTTGTCGGCCATCTTCTGTATGAACTTGTAGGCGCCGACGGTGCCCTGCCACTTACCAGTCCTCTTGGAGAGGTAGGTTGTCAATACGGGAAGAAGGCCTGAGAGGAGGCTCTCGGCGCTCAGGGAATTGAAAAGTGCGTCAAGGCCATACTGGGCAGCCTCACGGACAACGGCACCCTTGTCGGCAAGAGCATCCAGGGCACAGGCGACCAGGCCGTCGGCTGGGTTGAGCAGAACCACTTCGCTTATGGGCTGTCGGGAAGGGAATCGTTCGAAGATGGCGCCGAGAAGATTCTGGCTAGACTCGCGGCGCATGCCGCTCTTCTTGTCGTTGGCGGCCTTTTTCAACTCGGCGGCGATACCATAGTGGTTGAGGCCAACAACACCGACCGAGTTGAGAAGAAGTTCACAGAGCGCATAGCAAGCCTCGATGCAGGCGTTGGAGGACTGCGCGGTGAAGATGGTGTCGAGAAAGGCCGTAACATCTTGCTGGGATGGTGGGGGAGGGGCAGCCTTGGAGATGGCCGTCGGGAGGGACGGGGGAGAGACGGGGTGAGGCATTATGACTATCGTATAGTCGTTCTCTTGTGGTCCCAGAGTACAGGATAGAGAAAAGCCTCGGAACGCTGCGCCGTAAGATGCGCGCGTGAAAAATGGGAGGGAAGAATATATGGACAAGGGAAAAGGCTGCGTGGCAGCAGGGAAAACCCGCAGCAGATTTATCAGTCGGGTACGTCAAGACGGGTGGCAGAATAATTTTTCGTTATCTTATCGGAGGGGCTAAAGTCAGCAGCCAGCCAACCAGGATGCCACTAATAGCCCGTGACCCGCTGGGGAAGATGAATGGTTGGGGGAGGAGGGGGAGTTGTTTGAGGTGTGAGGCTGGATGGAAATAAAGAAAAAAAAAAGAAACAAAAAAAATGTATAGAGAATAATCATAATTCTCAATCAACGATATTTTTGTGACAGTTTATTCCTGTGTTCTGGGGCAGGAACGTGCCGCAGGCTGGCCTTTGAAACTCTGTTGCAACTTTCCACACTTTCCGGGTACCTTGGTACACCACCGATAGCCACTGTAACCACTGTGGCCCGCCGCTAGCTGCTGATTGTCGCAGCGCCTTACCCGCGGCCCAACGTCCACATGCAATACTAGAACAGTAATATTGGTGGTGCGTCGCGCAATCGGAGCGCTGATGAATGACTACATAGAATGTACGTCGCAATAAAGGTATTCTTCATCTGCTTTATGACAGCCTCGAGATAAGCGGGCTATACAAGCGCTATCCGGCAGTGAGTCGGCTGCAATTAGTTTGCATTGGTCATCTCGATTTCTGAGAATAAAACGCCATTAATAGCACAAATTTAGATGTTTGCATAAATCTCCCATATCTCCCATCACAACCCTGTCAATTATGTTTCGCCATGTATGCTGTGCATCAGTGCACTGTGAGTAGTCTGCGCACCGGCATCCCCGTGTACCGAGCACTATTACTAGTTACACGACAACCCACAGACTTGGTCAACTCTTTGAAGGCATTTATCAGTTATTCTTGGATTTCCATTTTACGCTGCATCCAAAAGGAAATATGCGCTGCAACGTACCCCTGCCGCTCTGTGGTGCTTGGACTCTCTCAGCCCCTTTCCCTATCCCACTACCTAAAGGGTACCGCACGAATATCCCACTAATACTATCTCAGAGCGTTAAAGAGGCGCTGCTCCACACGGACTACCCATTGCCCGCTCGCTAATGAGGAGCGGAGAGCACTTTGGCAACCCAGGAAAAAGAAACGAAGGCGCCTTTGTCTTCTTTCTTCATCTCGCCCTCGTTCTTGTCTCGAGTGGTTCGCATAATCGTTGCCGTCTTCTCCGCTTCCTTCCTCCCTTCCAACCAGATCAGCCAATCCTTATCACCCTCGCCATTATTTCATTCGACAAACGTCCTTGTTTCTCCTAAATTCTGTCGCCCTCATTCCCTTCTACGCCTCCTTGACCCCCGAAAACCAATCTCCCGACCGACGCGCCGTCATTTGCAACGCTTGACCATTATTACTCCGTGTCGCCTTTTGCTGTCGAATATTTCCCTCCCATTTTCTTCTTCGCCATTCGGCATCGACATGCTAGTTTGCGACGCTCGATAGTACAGCCATTACAACACCATGGCCATGGCCTCGAGGCTGTCCTCCGAACGGCCCTCCGAACGGCCCACCTCGCCGCCTGACGGGAGCAGCTTTCCGGCACCACAAGACGTCAACACTCGGCAGGCACGGCCCGCTAGCATTGTATCCTCGCGAATGACCGACTTTGGTAGTGATGACGGCCAGTCGTCCGCCAAGGAAACCAAGAGCCGCGCTGCCAAGCCCGGCGCTGCTGGCACCTCGCGAAGCAAATTCGCTCCGATGGCTCGACAACAGAAACAGTTTGGCAAGCTTGGGCCAGCCGGTCCTGCGCCTGCCACAACCCGAAGCCATGTTCCATCGCTTACTTCAAATGCCTTTTTCCGACCCATGAGCTCACAGAAGTTGCAAGCGCAGAGAGCCGCTGCCGCTCGCCCCGCTACTACTTTACAACCTCCGGTTGACTACGAAAATTTCGACGACGGCATGACAGATGCCGGCGTCTCTACTATCGGGAACTCAGCCCCGCATCGTAAAACAACTTCCGACGTTCGTCCCCATTCTCGCGGTACGGAGACGGCAGATCGTGAAACCCTAGATCGCCTGACAGCAAACGCCAGCCCTACAACCGGCCACGTTCCTACCGATAGCTTGACAGATAGCATGCGGCCGCTTAAGCAGCAACGCAACAGCACGCACGATCAACCCACCTCGCCGGTGGCAGAAAAGTCTACCCGCTCGTTTCGCTCTAGTTTCCGTCTAGGCCGCAGAAGTGATGTTAGCGCAGGCCGACACCGCGGCACCAACGGTGCCGAGAAGCTGTATTCGAACGCTTCTTCGCCTCGGCTGCACCCAGTTGAATCGCATGGCCGGCCCGTGACGGGTGCCACAGCAAAGACGGAGCGCGAGCATGGCAGGCTCGGCTGGGTCTATCAATACTTTGAGGGCAACACTGTCTTCTGCCTAGGCGGCCGATGGCAAAATACCAGGCACAGGCCTATGAACATTGCCACTGGCATCTTTGTTCTCGTTCCTTGCATTCTATTCTTTGTATCCGAAGCCTCTTGGCTCTGGCACAACATCTCTCCAGCGCTTCCCATCGTTTGCGCATACCTCAGTTTCCTCTGCTTTTCTTCATTTGTTCACGCATCCGTCTCGGACCCTGGCGTATGTATTGAATGCTCCCCCGCAAGTTATCCCACGCTAACAAGTCCAGATTCTGCCGCGAAATCTTCACCAATTCCCTCCTCTCGGTGAAAATGACGATCCTCTGCAATTGGGACCGCCGACAAACGACTGGACGCTTGTCAAGTCAGCCGAACCGTCGGCTGCTGCCATGGAGGTGCCAGTGAAGCACTGCCGCACCTGCAACATCTGGCGCCCGCCTCGTGCTCATCATTGCCGACTGTGCGATAACTGTATCGAGACACACGACCACCACTGCGTCTGGCTCAACAACTGTGTTGGCAAGCGCAATTACAAGTACTTTTTCGTATTTATCTCGAGCGGAACCCTCCTTTCATTATTCCTTATCGGCACCAGCCTGGCTCAGATCCTCATCCACCGCAGTCGCCAAAACATTACTTTCGGCCAAGCCATTAACCACTTCAGAGCCCCGTTTGCTCTGGTCATCATTTCCGCCTTGGCATTCTGCTACCCCTTTGCTTTGCTGGTCTACCATGTCTTTTGGATCGCGCGGGGCGAGACAACAAGAGAATACGTCAACTCACACAAGTTTGACAAGAAGGAGCGCTACCGCCCGTTTAGCCAGGGCAATCTGTTTAAGAATTTCATGGCAGTGCTCTGCCGCCCGCGGGGCCCAAGTTACTACACATTCAAGGGCAACTATCAATACGGCGACCAGCGCCTTGGGATGCGCCGCGACCTGCGTCCCCGTCAAAATTCCCAGGGAATGGAGCTGGGCGCTGTCCAGGGCGCCACGGAAGGCTTTCAGGGACCGGTTGCTCTCCGTGGCGAGAGCCGCCAATAGCGGCAGCCAGTCTTGTTCGGCTTTTTTTCTTTTTCACTTGCACGAACCCGACATTGTTCGAATTCATGCGTTGAGCGAGCGTTCTTGTTCCTTCCACCATCGCTTCCTTATTTCTTTACCATCAAATTCCGAGCATCATTTTGCCGCACAATGTACTGATAGAATACCCGGGCGATTAAATAGTGGGCGAGTATATTCATGTAGTGTAATTAGGCGATACATATTAATGTCCAATAATAGTAATCAGCCAATAGATGACATGTGAAATAGCCGTTTTCCCTGTGTTGCTATTGGCGCTATTATCAGTTCAATTTTTTTTAACCATGTATTTGTATAGCCGTCTCTATAGTTATGGAATGGCAAACCCGTTGCTTTACCTACCTAGTATATAGGCATAGTGGTTAATTAATTGTGCATTTCAAGCCGCTGAACCGGTTTGACCCGGATCCAACGTCTTCACAATGGGCTGATTCAGCACGTGATTCGCTGGAGCTACCGCTGCAAACTACGGCACCAATGAGCTTGGCCGCTTTGGAGCTTTTTGCCCGAGTTGTCGACAACGTCATTTTTCTTCCCCTTCTTGATCACCCTCTAAAACACCGCAACCGAACCGACATCAAAGTCCCTCCGCAACAATGGCCTCCCACGTCGCACGCCGCCTCTTTTCCACCACTACCCGCCGCATGGCCGACCAGAACCTCAAGGCCGAGTCGAAGCGCAACCCCGAGACTCTGGTGCGTCCCTTTTTTGTGCTGTCGTTTTCCCTTTCATCCGCCGTCTGGACCAATTGAAGCATCTGCCACCCGACAAAACCTGTCGCAATCAGCGGAAAAGCTCGAGGCTCAATTGGATTGGGGAAATTTCCAAGGACCGAGACAAGGGCAAAAAAAAAACGATTGATGGAAGGCGGGAAACGGGAGTTGCTAACGTGGCGAATGTTGTTAGATTCTCGGCGGTGTCATGGTCGCTGCCCTCGGCGGCGCCGGCTACTACTTTGGTACGTAAAATCATACGGCGCGGGCGTCGGCAAACGGGAAAACGGGATGGGGGAGAAGAACGAGAAACTAACGGAAAGGGCTCCCAGGCCGCAACCCGACCTCGTCAACCTCCGAGTCCAGCGTGCACGTCACCCAGGGCAGCGCCCCGTGGGAGTCGGGCGAGCACGCCAAGTACAAGTACCAGCCCGGCGGCGACCCCAACGCCGAGCCGCGCGACGCGCCCTCGGCTGTCAACACCGTCGTCATCCCCAACGTCACCCTCACCCAGGAGTTCCACGACAAGTACAACAAGTGGGGCAAGGACGGTTACCCTTGAACCTGAGCAAGTCTGCCGAGAACAGGCAAGCGGAAGGAGGGGGCAAGGTTGTCAGATGGACGAATGTTGGGGGGGCGGGGGGGGGAGCCTGGACAGACTCTGGTTGTAGAGTTGTGTAACATTTTATTGCAAGAGATCACATCCAATCAATTGAAACCACGTGAAAACTATAACATCAGATTGGACTTAGTCCTGGCATGACAACGTGGTTGATGTTGTAAAAGTGTGAATTAAAGTCTTATGTACAGTATACGTTTCGTCATGTCAGATTCTAAATGACTAAGAAGAGAACAACAGCTCATAACACCGTCCCAATGCCACCATGCCGCTCTCTCCAGTTTGCCCGTCGGCTTCAAGAATAAAAGTTGTTGTAGAATATGTTCGTTTTTCGTCCTCCTCAACTCCGTTTTGCAACTACCAATGCATTCCCCCCCCCCCACCCAACACCACGCCTTCAAAACAAACAATGCAGCATGATTTTTTCTTTTCGAATTTGTGTTTTCACGCAATCAAGGCGTCAATCTCCTCGGCCGTAAAGCCAAACAGGTAGAGCAAGTCCAGCAAGCTCTCGCCATTCAGACGCGCGGCGGCCTCCATCTGGACGCGGGGTTTCGCGTTCCACGCCACGCCGAGGCCGGCCTTGTCGAGCATGAGCAGGTCGTTGGCGCCGTCGCCGACGGCCACGACCTGCGCCAGGTCAATGTTTTCCTTGGCGGCAATCTCGACGAGCAGGTCTCGCTTGCGCTCGGCGCCGACAATGGGGCCCTGGGCCTCGCCGGTGAGCCTGCCGTCGGGGCCGACGACGACGTCGTTGGCAAAGGCGTAGTCGAGGCCCAGCTCGGCGGCCAGCCAGGTGGTCAGCGGCTGGAAGCCGCCGGACAGGACGGCGGTCTTGACGCCGAGGCGCTTCAGGGCCCGGAGGAGCGGGCGGACGCCGGGGGTGACGCGGAGGACCGGGCGGAGCTGCTCAAAGATGGCGGCGGGCAGGCCCTTGAGCAGGGCGAGGCGCTCGCGGAACGAGGCGGCAAACTCGAGCTCGCCGGCCATGGCGCGGCGGGTAATGTCGGCGACGCGGGCGCCGAGGTCGGCGGGCTCGGTGATTTGCTCGGCGAGCAGGTCAATGACCTCCTGGGCGATGAGGGTGCTGTCCATGTCGAAGACGACGAGGCGGGGGTGGCGGCGCCAGACGGCGTCGCGGCGGAGGACGACGTCGACGTTCCACTCCTGCTCGAAGCGGTAGATGGTCTCGTGCTTGCGCAGCTCGGGGATGCTGAGAAAGGACGGGGCGGGCGCGGGCGCGAGGGCGAGCTCGACGACGCGCGGGGCGTCCGGGTCGTCGAGGCAGCGGTGCGACGAGTGCGGCTCGTCGGCGCCGTCGGGCAGCGGGAAGGCGGACATGAGGTGCAGGAACGAGGTGATGCAGAGCGGCGACACGTAGGAGCCGTACAGGTGGTCGAGGTGCTCGGCCTCGTGCGTGGGCGGCTCGAGCGGGAAGGCGTCGAGGCTGGTCGTGGGCGCCAGGTTGCCGGGGAGCGTGTCGGGGGCGTTGGGCGGGGAGCCGGTCGGGGCGGGTGCCGTCGCGCAGTTGGTCATAGTCGGCGGCTGCTGCTGCTGCGCGGCGCCCTTGTAGAAGAGCGTCACGAGGAGGCGGTCCGTCTTCTGGCCGGCGGGGGGTGCACAGCTGTGGTGGGCGTAGCTGTGGTCGATGCCGCTCTCGACAATGGTGGGCGGCGCGTCCTCGGAGGGGATGCCGCGAAAGGGCAGCGCGGCGGCGACTGGGCTGCCCGTGGTGGCGGGCGGGCGGCTCTTGGACTCGAGGACCGTGTCGATGCCGTGGTGCGCGTCTGCGAGGCGCGGGCTGGCACGGCGGTACTGCTGATGGTCGCTCAGGTAGGAGCTGGTGCGCATGGTGCTGGTGAGCTGAGGCCTGGCGGTGGCCGATTTCTGGGGACTCGTCGGCTCGGCCATTTTTCTTCTTGTTTTTTGTTCTGGGTTCCTTTTATTAAAGACGGGGGTTTTTATTATTATGATTATTGACAAAAGTCTGGCTGTTGGCTGTTCGAAGGGAGAAATTTTGTTCAGAGAGGGGGGGGCGCACAAAGAAGAGGGGAAGACGAGGGTATTCAGAGGATTCAGAGGTCTCGGAGAGGCGATGCAGGTGCCCCACCAAGAAGAAAATGTCGGGTGGTGCTGCGGCGGCAGCGGATTGGGGCGCTGGATTGTGTGGCCGGCAGTGATAGAGTGTCAATGAAGATGAATTCCGTGAGGAAAGCAAAACGGCTGTAAAGCAGATAAATTTCACAAGAAAAGTCGCGTCCATGTGCAGGCTACAGAGAGCGAGACATTAAATGTGCGACTTAATTATGACGCAGTTTTACTTGAGCAAACTCCAGAGCTAGGGGCCCCCTGGCTAAGATGCCCTCCCATACTAAAATAGCCTGGCAGGTACGTCAGAAACGCAGAAACGACCCATTGGGCATCTGGCAGGCCACCCATCGAATCTGCACTGGCGTGTCCACTGATGTCCACTGCAATGCAACACCAACGCCCATCAGACGATAATTATTGCTTCAACATGCCCCATGCCCATCTTCCACTTTCAACCCTACAATATATCATTTATACCTAGGGATACTCCTTGGCCTTGACAAGAGCGCCCTACTGCGTGGAAGCGTCATGTCCCTCGATGTTCGCGAGATACCTCGCGCAAGGGCATGCCACCACGCGGCCGACGGTTGCCAATCTGGCCGGAGCTAGCCATCAGCAGCCAGGGTCAGTCTTCTCTTGATATAAACACCCCCGTTTGTTCGGCGCGGAGCATCTCCATGGCAAGCCGACTTCCATGGTTGACGGCCCGGAGGTTTGCGCCCCCAATCCCGGTGGCCAGCCCAATTGGCCAGGCGTGAACTTGGGTACGGGCGTGGGTCGGAAAAGGTCTGGTGCACAAAGATGAGTCTTTCGGACAGGGTCGTCATTACTAAATTTGCTCTCGAATTGTTGGAGATTATACACTACTACGTGGAATGGACAGGGCGTCATCCCGGCTTTGGGGCTCTCCTCGGAGCCAACAGCATCCACTGCCTAGATATACGTGTAGTACGGCAAGCGCAGAGGAATAAACTTTTCAGATGGCTTCAGAAAATGCGCAGAGAACAATTGGCCCCATCGTACCAGCTGTAGCGTAGTAGTGTTCTGCAGTTGCTGTACACGGCCTCCTTGCTGCCTGCCTCCAACATTCCCAAATTGGTAGGCGAAGCACTCTCGCATATCCCTGTTTCCTTCTTTTCTTCTACACTGCCCATTTTACCTTTTCCTTTTTTTTGTTTTCAAAAAGGGATGCAAAGCTTCTTTTGTCCCACTAGAGCCGTCTGTGAGTCTTACACCGTTGTAAACTTTTGCCAACGATCGCGGCGCCAACAGCGCGCTACGCGACCAAGGACTGTGAAAATGAACACTTGCAAAGTCTAATGCTGTAAGGCTTCTTTTCTAGATATTGAATGCGAAAATTATCATGTCCGCATTTTAGTATATAACCAACCTTTGTCAACCCATGTCCAAGCTTTCTTAGAAATTCCATCTCACCCATCCTTTATTAGGAACCATTACCAATATCAACCAACCCAAAGTCCTTCTTCTTCGCCGTATTCCATCGCAATCCCGCGTCATGTCCTCTTGCAACAGCTTACAGAAACACCAAGTCATGACGCCTCCGCTCAGGGGGCCTGTGGGATCGGCGCCTCCGAAAGCGCGCCCCGGATACGCCGCCACGAAGCTGACCGGCCTCCTTCGCCTTCCTCTCGAGCTCCAGCGCCACATCTTCAAGCTCGTCCTCCACGAACCCAATCTCTGGGACCGCCGCCACCATGACGGCTGCAAGCTCCGCCCCGTCACGCCCAAGGCCATGGCGCAGCCGCCGTTCATGTCCCACCGCGTTTTTGTCGAAGCCGTGTACGCGAGCCGCCAACACGCGCCTCGGTGCCCCAGATGGCTGAAATGCGTCGAGTGCGACCCGTCCTCGGCCGCGCTGTACGAGCGCCCGACATCGTTTCGTCTGGCCAAGACGTGGACGTGGTGCACCTGCGGCAAGCGCACCGGCGTCAACCTCTTGCGCGCCAACCGCCACATCTTTAGCGTCGCCGCGCCCATCTTCTGGTCCGGGAATACGTTTTCCTTTTTTGACGTCAGTGAGTTCGCCGCCTGCATAGCCGCCACGTCGCCGGGCACGCGGGACCTCATCCGCGGCGCCAGCATCGTCACGTTCCAGCTCCAGCGCTGGCTCGATGCTCGCGTGTGCCTTCGGAGCAGGGACCTGGAAGGGCATCTGTTGCCAGAGGGTGTCCTCACCTGGCAGCAAAAGTGCCTCACTGCCCTCTGGCCCGCCTTGAAGAGTCTTCCAAAGCTCAAACGTCTGGCCCTTCCAGCACACTACCTTGAAACCGCCATGTTCGACCGCCTCCCTGCCGATGAACGCCGCCCGATGCGTCAGTATCTGGCGCTCTTGGACGAGATGGACTTGACAAATCTCGGCCTCTGCGGCGGCGTTACGGGAGGGGGCCACTATCGTGCGCTGGCAAACTTTTGGAAACGGTTCTTTGACGGCGAGCTCCAGCAGACGCTGTGCGGCTTTACTCTGCGCATTCGCATAAACGACCGGCTCCGCGACTTTAGCGCCAACTTTCCGTACACCTCGCGCCTCAGCCAATGGGACTTTCTCACCAACATGTACGATGCCGTCGAGGCGCAGCTGATGGTGGACGACACGGACAAGCGCGGCCGTGCCTGGCGCCGCCCCAACGACGACGTCACCGGCGGCACCGGGACCGCCACCGTCTCGGTGTCCGGGTGCTTCCGCCAGGTCACCCTCTACAACATGCCGCTGACCAAGGATGCCTGCGCCAGGAACCAGCAGGCGCAGACAAGTGGCCACGGCACGGAGAAGCGCAGACAGAACCCCGGCCGGTACCTGACCAACTCGTTTGAAGCCTTGCGCCTGGCCGACTACAGATGCTCGTTCAAAGATCTCACAGACGACGAGGCGGACAGGCCCAAAGCTCCCCCGCGCAGAAAGAGGATGCGGGTCAAGAAGAACCGACGCAGCTGGAAGCCGGAATCATGGAAGAGATGATCGCACGCCTTGTGTCTGCTTCTATCGGAAACGAAGGCGTTGCTTGCTTGTAGGTCGGGTATGTTTTTTTTTTGGTTGGGGTACATATGGAGCCGTTGTGGAGGCTCCAAGATGGAGCAATGTTCTGTGGCAGTTACTGTTTTCAAAAAAGAATCAAGGCGTGGGTATACTTACGGTATCTCTTTTTGTATTGGGTAATAACTAATAACGGGTCAAGTCGGGAAAGATGGAAAGGCCGGGACGGTTCGCGATTTGCTCTCATAGATTGGACTTGGACTCTACCTTGTTAGACTGCATAGCTACACAATTGTTTTGTTTTGTTTTTGGATTTTGGATTTTTCCAATGTGATTTCGAGTAGATTCCAGACTACATATGTAATCATCGGTGGACTGTTTGTGCTGCTTTCGGTCGTCGGTTGTCGATGCCCGTCCGATTCCCCGGCTGCTACGGCCTCGGCGCCCGGTTCGGCGATGCCGTAGAGGGTTCCATGGACTACCAGATGGAATTGGTAGGACCTCTCCGGCGTCAAATTGTGCTCTTGACATGAAGAGGAGGTTCTCGAGAGCTGTTTATAATGCATCAGATACTGTCCTCTCCGGATCGACGTCCCGTGGTTGAGCGAGGGCCCGAGGCCGAGCCCCGATCCCTGCCTCGCCTCCCCCAGGGCTGGATGACATCGACCCCGCCCCCACCGCAGCTGTACGGAGGATTGCGTGCGCGCGAGCGAAAAGCGTGTCATTTATTTTTAAACGCAAAAGTGGTTGCTCATCGTGGGGTTTCGTCCCTCCGTGCCCGTCCTTGCCCGGGCTCTCCTCCCACCGAACCCACCCAGCGTTGTGGCATTGTGTAATTAAAAAAGAGTAGTATTTAGCATCGGTGTCTTGCCGACCCTGCTTCTCATTGTCCCCCCCCCCCCCGGCATCTCCGTGTTGCTGGCCAGGGTTGAAAGCAGGGCGAGAACGGCTCGTCGGGCGGGCTGTCGGCGTCAACGACCCATGTTACGCCGCGACCAGCTACCACGGGCTGGGCGTACTACAGTGCTCTTTCGAGAATCGCGGGGGAGGGCTAGAAAACATGGAATCACTCCATCATCATCCGAGGCCCAAAAGGGGGCAATGACGACGAGCATATTTGGCAATGCTAGAACGTATTTCTAATCTTAATTATGCCGTGGCTCGTCGCCAACAACAAGCAAGCCCTTTGACCCGGCCCGGGGGGTGGCTCCAGTTACTGTTGACGCTAAAAAAGCCCCATAGGTATCTGGGACCTGCGATTGTACGCGGGGGAGCTGCCAGACACAAGTAGACGCGACTTGCCGACGGTCCCGAGCCGGCTCCTCGCTGACCAATCACATTGCACGCTTCGCATCGCGGAAGCAATGGCGTCGATGTCGTGATCAGTCTCCATCACGACGCAAAAACTCAGACTGGGCTCCCCCGACCACCAAGCCGGAAACTATGGGCGGTTTCGGGAGCCCAGGTCTTTTAACGACGCAAATGAAAAGAGAGAAAAACAGGGCGACAAAGCAAAGCCCACCTGGTTTGGCAATTAGTCAGGGTACCGTGCCCCCCTTCCCACGGCCTCTTGGGTGCCCTTCTCCATGCCTTGGGAATTCGTAAACCTCCCTCTTTCTAATTCGTGAATTCATATTGTCTTGATTATAAACCTCCTTCTCGAGAGTATTCTGTCCAGCGTCACATTAGCAAGAGAAACGCAACCCTGCCTCTTATAAAAAGAACCCCCTCCCAGAGCACCCCATCTCTTACACACACCCACACACCAACAAAAGAAACTTACCGTGGCTCGACACACTGAGCACATTCTTTCCTTGGTCGTCATCATCCTCGCATCCTTCATCATGACACAGATCTCGCCCCAGTCCTTCCACGACGACAAGATGGACCACCACGACATTGAATCCGGCTACGTCTCCGGCCAGGACGGCGAGGTCGTCCCCGTCAAGCCCGCTTCGTCGGCCTCGCCCCTCATTTCCCTCAGCAAGGCCCATGTCGAGTACCTCAACGAGCAGATGGAGACGATGCACCCCGTCGACATCCTCCGCTTCTGCAAGATCATGTTCCCCAACCTCTACCAGTCCACCGCCTTTGGCCTGACCGGGCTCGTCACCATGGACATGCTGTCCCGGATCCAGGCCGAGAGCCCGCAGTCCCGCACCGTCGACCTCATCTTCCTCGACACGCTCTACCACTTTGACGAGACGTACGAGCTCGTCGACCGCGTCCGCGCCCGCTACCCCAACGTGCCCGTGCACGTCTTCAAGCCCGACGGCGCCGCCACCGCCCGCGAGCTCGAGGACACGTACGGCGCCGAGTTTTACCACACGGCCGGCGAAATGTACGACTATATTGTCAAGGTCGAGCCCCTGCAGCGCGCCTACGACACGCTCGGCGTCGCCGCCGTTCTCAACGGCCGCCGCCGCTCCCAGGGCGCCGCCCGCGGCTCCATCCCCATCATCGAGATGGACGAGGAGCGCAACATCATCAAAATCAGCCCCCTCGCCGCCTGGTCCTTTGCCCAGGTCAACGAGTACGTCAAGGAGCACAACGTCCCCTACAACGCCCTCCTCGACCAGGGCTACAAGTCAGTCGGCGACTGGCACTCGACCGTCCCCGTCAAGGACGGCGAGGACGAGCGCGCCGGCCGCTGGAAGGGCCAGTCCAAGACCGAGTGCGGCATCCACAACAAAAAGTCGCGCTACACCCAGTTCCTCAAGGACATGGAGAGCAGCCAGCAGATTTCCGTCTAGGTGGCGCCGGCAGTCGTGTTTACTCCGGCTGGTCGATGAAGATGCAAAAAAAGCGTTGATGTAATGAAATTGATGAAGGAGAGCATTTGGATATTTTCGGCGAGATTTTGCCAGCTTGATTTTCGGTGTTTCAGGGTTGCACAGCATGGGTATTCGCGCGGCTGCGGCCGATTTTGTTTTTCATCATCATGGTTGGGCGTTGGGTGTTTCTTGGCCTATCATCCTCCGAGGTGGTCGCCGCACAAAAGGGGGCCGCTGCTTCGGCAGGGACACTAAATGAAATCAGCTACATCAGATAGACTGCATTTAGATAAGAATAAACAAAAATCGATAAACTTACTCGTCCGTTGTGCATCGTGACAGGAATGAGGCGCTGACGTTGAAAGGGGAGCTGGCGTTGCAGCGTTGTAGTTATCGGATTGGCCAATGAGCGCATGACCCCGCAGCTGAAGATATTACAGGTTGCGCGACATGCAATAGAATCCCATTTCCAACGAAGTGGCTGCAAGCTACCCCGCATGCAGCATCACCAACATTACGAGTACCGATATGATGCATTTCGCTGACCATGAATTAATAGATCATGCGCGAGAAGAACGTGCCGTCCAAAATCTACACATGCTGCCCAAGGGTCATCGCGTGGGCCTCGGACTGTGCGAATGCGAATGCTACGTGCAAAGAATTGGGATCGTCAAGCAGTTGACGGATTGCCCTACCTACCTATAAAGACGAGGGCCATTCCAGAACTTGATAGAAGCTAGAACGCAATGTTATACACTACTTCCCGTCCGACAGTTGGCAAAGCGTTCAAAGTCAAACAGCCGTCCTAAGCCCCATAGAATCCAGGGGGAAACATCGCAAGATTCCTGCTGATCTTTGGTGAGGAGATCACAGCGCGCCCTGTAAGCGACGCTAAAATTAAACTGGTATTGAGCTCTGCTGGTGTGCTTGGAGAAGTGTGAGCGTGGCACTGGCAGATTCGATCTGTTGCCTCCAGCACGCTGCAATGATGCTTCCACAAAACACGTTTGTGAGCTCTGGAAAATCTTGTCGCTTGTAGCGATCCTCTATCTCGTCGATATCGAGATCCTTGAACGGGGGCGCACGCTGCATAATATGATAAATGGAGGACCCCAAAGCAAAAAGATCGGTCTGCACATTGCAGGTCGGCTCGGGGCGCGGCAGGAAATACCTCGCGCTCTCCAGACAAAGCGGCGGAAGACCATCTATTGAAGATCCCGAGAAATCAATGATGCGTACGCACATGTTGTCGTCGAGAACCATGTTTTCGGGTTTAATATCGCCATGAAAGACGCCAGAGCTATGAAGAAACGCAATGCCCTCAGTGGCTTGGAGACACCAGTCTAGTTGTTGCGACTGCGTGATCACGGCGTCAGAGGCGAGATGGGCTTCCAGGCTGCCGAGTCGCATGTACTCGAATATGACGTGACCATCCATCTCGTCGGCGGAACATGAATAGCTCATCATCTTGATCAGTCGTCGGTGAGGTGCAAGTCGTTTGTAGATGAGGACTTCGCGCATGAGTTGGCCGACTTGGCGATGCCTCTCGCTAGAGCACAGAAACGGATGCGGCGACTTCTTCACCAGGTTGCCGGGCGGCAGAAGCTCGATGATCGCAGTGGCTCCAAACGTCAGGCAGCCATCCTATTGAGCCCTGGTCAGGCGGATTGGCGGGCTGATCGGTTGGCACTTACGAGTCTGTCGGACATGTCTTTAGGATATGGCCATTCGAGTCCATCATGGTAACACATGCGCACATCTCGGCAGTCGCAAGACTTGGCCATCGTTTGTTTTCTTTATTGTGCAGAGCGCTGAAGTTGGGTATGCACGCATTTTTCCCCTGATGGGTGAGCAATCGCCGCCGTCTGACTAATCATCCCCTGCTTTGTCTCGGCAACCAAGTGCGAAGAGAGGTTGCTGCTGACGATGACGGTGAACATCATCACCATTGGTATTTATTCCATACGTTAGATGCTCCTTTACAACGGTGTTCTGGTTTAATAGGCAAGCTCCTACTAAGGCTGACCAGGCAATAGGAGGTAATAGGCCACACCACGAATCTGGGTAGGTATGTATTAAGTAACCACTTCAAAAGAGAGGCTCTGATCCCTCATAAGCATAAGACCGAGCTGGCTGAGGTATATTTCGAACTGGTTCCCTATGGGCACCGTACCTGGGCGGCACGATTTGCGCGATCACTCTCCTGTTGTAGCTGCGCCGACTTGGCCTCAACATAGGTAGGTACACCGTTTGAACATCGGATTTGACCTGGTACAGCCCGTATTAAAGCTTCTCCACCGCCTCGGACGAGTCCCACGCCAGCGCGAGCGACGCGATGAACTCCTCGTAACTCCTTCAAGATCTTAAAGTCATCGGCTGACGACATCTCGAGGAGGTAGGAGAAGAGTACGAAGAAAGATATTACTGGTGCGAGCAGAAGTCTCCTACTCAAGTTAGCAACCGAATACAAACAATGGCCACATTGGGAGAGGGCGGTCTTTACAGCAGTGTACTCTGCCTCTATCATTTGCCTTTGCCAGCAAATTGACTACAAAAATAATAGACTCTAATCAGAGAAGGTTTCGAAAGAACCAACTTTGTAATTTCATAGCCATATAGTATCACGCTGCGGATTGTCAAGATCACCATCTCTCATTGCAACGCCTCACTCATTGGTGCACCAGCACAACATTGCGTAACCCTGCCGTCCAACGCAATAGAAACGCCATAACCCCTTTTGCGCAACAGTGAACATGGTGCCTTTGAGCCCTGGAAATATATGTATATCCGGCGATTCGCCCCCCAGAATGCCAGTGGTGTTTCGGTCCATCGCCCTGCCGTCATGGCATCCAACAAGACTCGCTTATTCGTCGTACCAAATAAAAATCGCCTATACGTGACTGTTTATCCCAACGAAGACGCTCCAGACGACAAGGAAAGGTACATGGTGCAAAGACAGTTCCAAAAACTGTAAAAAAAAAAACTCAACATCAGTATTGCTCAAGAGATGGCGGACCTAATCAAGAACGAGAGAGCAGCTTCAGCTGGGGATTCCTCATCGGGCCAAAGCACGAGGACACGGCCATCAACCCCGGTGTGCGATACTACATCCACCGCGTGCCGCTGGGAACGAGGGAGCGCCCCGAGGGCTTCCTCTGGCGGTACGCCGAGGACACGCTGCCCAGCATCAAATGCCCCGCGCGCATGTACGCGCGCCTCCTCATCGCCAAGATTGAGGACGAGGACCGCCTGGAGCGGCTGCTGCGCGAGACGCCCCGGCCGCCGCGCGCCCCGGACGGTGACCGCGTCGCCGCCGCTGCCCTCCACGACGGCTACGACTCGCAGGTGTGGGTGGCGCAGGTGCTCGACCGGCTGGCCGCCGCCAGCGCGGGTAGGAAGCGCCGCATCGTCGGCAGGGGCGTGCTCGACTGGCCGCAGATTGAGCAGACGGCGCGACGCTACGTCGCGGAGAAGATGGCCGCCGATAGATACAACGAGGACTATCTGCGGGAGACGGAGCACCGGCTGCCGAAGCCGACGTGGGATATGATCCTAGGCAAGGAGATTGCGGGCTGAACTTGGTAAGTGCTTGCGCAGGGGGTGTGGTGAAGTTTCGAGAAGCGGCACGGCTTTTATAGCCCATGAATTCCCCAAGCTCTCTGACTGAGCTACATGATTGTTTGTCACGGCTGTAACGAACACTGCATCACTAACACACGAGCCGGTTCACGGGTAGTACTAGGGAGTTACAAGTTGCGAAACGACTACCAATCATCGCGGATCGAAATAGACCAATCGAGGTAACTAAAAAAGTACTGAGCGTCGAGATATTTGTTTCAGTTTTTAATACATCTGTCAGAGAAGAATAGACGCAGCATGGTGTTCATGATGGTCTCATCGTGACAATGCTCAACGGAGGACCCCACTCTAAATTCTTCACTCGATGTTGCTCGAACATGACGTTCACCATCTTCACATTCTCACATCCAGAAAAATAGGCCGAAAAAGCAAGGCACTCCATCCGCGTCTGCCATCGCCACACAAAGCGCCATGGTGGCACCATCGCCGCTGCCCTTTCCGGGACCTACCTTTGAGGCGCGCAAGAGCAAGATTCTGGAGCAGCTCGCGGTGCCTGACGCCGAGTACTCGGACGCCTCCCCCAAAGGCACCGTCGACGTGGGTATCCGGCCGCTGCTAGCCAAGATCAACGCGTCGGCGGGTTTCGTGACGACGAGCAGCTGCGCGGGGCGTGTGAGCGTCTTTGTCGAGGGTCGCAAGACGGCCGACGCGGGGGCCGGCGCGGCAGTGGACGCGCCGGAGCCGTCGACAGTGGCCGGCCTGGGCGGCAAGGGCGGCGGCGGGACGTGGCTGTACGTCTCGCACGATCCGCACCCGCTGGTCGGACAGGGCGTCGTGGTGGACTGGGTCGAGGAGCTGGGACTTTCCGGGGCGCACGATGATGCGGCGCTGTCGGATGCTACGGGTGGTGGTGGTTCGGAACGCAGACTGATTCACTTCAAGTTTGAACCCATGGTGAGTGAACAGGGCAGACAGAGTTGACGATGCCACTATTGCGCCACCACCACACACACACGGGCCATGGTGTGATGTTTGTTCCCATGATCCAAAACTAACCAACCCGAAAACCCCAGATTCTCCATGTCCTCACCGCCTCTCACGCCCACGCCCAGCTGCTCCTGCGCTGCGCCCTGCACGCCGGCTTCCGCGAGTCCGGCGCCGTCAGCCTTGTGAGCGGCGAGCAGCAGTCCGCGCAGCCCATGGTCGCCGTCCGCTCCATGGGCCTCGGGTTCGAGTCGCTGCTCGGCTACGCGGACGACGACGAAGGCGGGCGACGGCGGCTGCGGCTCCTTGTGCCGCCGGGCTATCTCGACACGCTCATGGCCGTCGGCCACGCCCGGTTCGCGGAGAACGTCAAGCGCATACGCCGGTTCGAGGAGGCGTTTGCCGAGGCCACGGCGCCGAGCCGGAACCTGGAGGGCCGGGCGTGGGAGGATGCCGCGGCGCGGCGCGAGAGGATGCGCGCAGAGGGGTTGCGGCGACAGGCGGCGGCGGCGGCGGAGCAGGCAGACCGGACAGAGGCAGAGCCGGATGTAGGCCAGGCCGGCATATCATTATAGTGCGACAAGGGCTACGGAAAGGAAATAAACAAAAAGATATGAACGCCTTCGGGTCGTAACACAGGGCACCATGTCGTTGTTCGTACATTTCTTTTTTGGTCTATACAGCTTTTACCGCTCCCCATGTTCGTAATGTACACACAAAAAAAAAAACGAAGCTCCAAAGATTCTAAGAGTCAGCGTGTGCGTGTAAAGCAAGATTCCAGCGCGCAATAGTCTCCACCCCCTTTCCAACGACCCTCACGCCACGATCTTGTCGACCCACGACTTCTCCAGCTTCTGGACCTCGGCCTTGAAGTCCTCCACCGCCTGCCAGCAGTCGAGCGGCCGGCGGTCGTTTGTGCGCAGGCACTCGACGACCTTGGTGCGGGCGCGCTCCACGTCCTCGGGCAGCGCGCGGACCTGCTTGCGCTCCTCGAGCTTGCGGCGGAGCGCGTCGACCTCTTTGCCGACGGCGAAGCGGGAGGGGCCGTCATCGGGGGACGAGTGGGAGGAAGCGGCGGCGGCGGCAATCTTGTCGTGGGCGGCGGCGAGGGCCTCGGCCTCGCGCTTCTGCAGCTTCTTGAGCTCGTCGGCGACGCGGGCGTGGATCTGCTGCTCGAGCAGCTTGGCACGTGAAGCGTCCGTCTGTCCACGGGGCGTTAGTGTTTGAGCGATTGAGGAGGGAAGCGAGGGAGGGGTTTGGGTCGTCATTTTCGTACCTCGGGGCTGGACTGCAGGGAGTCGAGGACGGGCATGGAAACGCCAGGCGTCCCTGAGCTGTTTTTTACGAGATGGGTGTTAGCTTTGGTCAGGTGTCGAAAGGGTGGCTGTCGTTGCAGGTGACATGGGATAGCTGGCGCGGGGGAAAAAATCGAGCGGTAACGTACGCCTTCCACTGATAGCCCGATGGCTCTGGTTTCGATGTGCTGGACCCCATGATGTGATGTTCAATGGCAGCGGGGAGACGGATCTTGAATTCGCTGTCGAGCGGCCGGATCACTTCGGCAGCAGAGCGCTTGTTCTCGGAGAGTGGAACATGTTTGTGCCTGAGGCAGGAAGTACCGCAACTACCACTGAAGGACAGCATTAGACGGCGATGTACGGGGGAGGAGGGGGTAGTAATAAGCGTACTAGAAATGGGAGAATTAAACTTAATTACGAGAAATTCTCCCTCTCTAAAAAAAAAAAGAGAGGTTCACATGACGCGAAGTGGCATTGTGGTGAGAAACAAGCTGGTTGTCAGTGACTGACTGTAATACTACCACAATAAAAATCTGTTCAGCGTTAGAAATTCCGGAAAAGGAGCACGGGAAGAAAAAAGGGTTGTTGATTGCGGAAGAAACTATGTGCATTATTCCAAAATATAGTGTATTTTCAAAATCTTGATAAAAGCTGTAGGGTGGTGCGGCTTTTAACCCTTTTAAACGGCCCTGACAGCGGATTGTGTACAGAGCTCCAAGCATTGAGTTGATACTGCGATCAGTGCGAGAGAATTAAAGTGAGACAAGATAAAGGCGAAACCTCTATCCGTACTATCGGGTTAGCCAAACGTGAAAAAAGGTCACCATGGCCCGACCACCAAAGCCTCGCTGTTGGTCCAAGAATAATTGTCCCTCCCGCCGTCATGCTGTTGTTTTTACAGTAGACGTAACAGGCAGACGTAACAGGCAGACGTTTCCGGGCACCGTCAGAGCGCCTCGAAATTGAATATCCTTGCTGCTAGTAACGGGACGCAAGTTGAGGGTCTTGGCAGCGGCTTACTATATGGCCGGCGGTTGGTGACACACATGCTGGGCGGTGGTGTCAGGCTGTTCATTGTTGTTTTTTGCGACTACTCTTTGTGTATTTTAATACAAAGGCAAGCGCGCGTATGAGCGAGAAGCCAAGTCCAAGCAAATCAATGCAAAATATTAAAGTAGAATCTCTTGAGAGCAACAGCGTTGCGCCAAAGAGCCAAAGTACCGCGGCCGAAGCTGGTCAACCAACACCGTCGGCCGGGTTGGTCGTACATTGCGAAATACTTTAATTTATACAGCTTTACCGCTGCACATGTCAGCTGCTCAGCGGCTCGGCTATTCATGACAATGATGAGCTCATTTTTAAGGTTGGCGGCTGGTGCATGACATGATCTCATTGCAGGGTCGGGCGAGCCTCACCGTGGCTGGCGTGAGGCTGCCAGGGGTTAGCGCCGTTTGCGTCAGGCCGCTGATATATCTGAGTTCCAGTCGCCAGCTGGAATGCATGAGGCGTCGCTGCGCCATTGTTCCCCGGCGGAGAATGGTTTGCCCCGGTGATTGTGTGCTCAGATGATGCTACCTAACTATAGCCTGGGACCTACTTCAGCGGCGGGTCTTTTGCACGTCGTGAAGCCATTCCCTGTGTGAAGGCGCTGGTCACTGGTGTAGCACACAGCCACGAGGTAGACGAAGATATTAGCTTGGAGTGGCTGTCTCAGTATTGAATAGTTTGGCGACAGTTTCTTGGGTGAAACGTAGCATGGCAGCACGAACGGGTGACAATGGCTGAATAGTTGCTGCATGCGTGGCGTTTCTACAATTTGTTTTCGTCCTGTCACTCTGTGCAACGTGGATACTGTTGCAGATTGAGTAATAAAGCGGGCGCAAAAAAAGCGAAGAAGGAAAGAAGGAACCAGGGCGGATATTGAGGTGGATGACGGATACGGACGGTACGGACGCGTGGATGCGTGACATTCGTAAGGCAATTAAAAGGCGATATCAGGAGGGCACGACAGGTGTGGCTGCTTGGCGGCCCTGTACAAAAGGGAATAACGAGATGAGATATTGCGCGGTGGCAGGTCGGCCGGACAATTATTTTCGGGCGCATGTAAGGGTCTTGGTTTCTTTCCTTTTGTCATGCGCGGAGAGAAGGGCGTGACGTCGGAAGGGTCGGCAGAGACGGCACGGGAGGGTCCGGTTGGTGAGCGCGAATTGAAACACGCAGCTGCGGGCGGGACTCGAGGTAGTACTCAGTAACTAGTTATGAATTCGTAGGCCAGCGCGAAAGGCTGGCGACATTTATAGGAGATGGTCAGCGGGCGCCGAGGTATCAGATCGGGTGCCTGCAAAGAAGAGGTGCAGAACCAACGCACTGGTGTGCTGGTACGGAGTCGTACATACGTATCTGTACAGCCGAGATAGTATTGTTTGCGTGTCGACGAGTTGGAGGCGTCGACTAGTTACCTAGAACAGAGTCAGGAGGCTGGATCGGCGTCTGGTTGGTTGGGGTGGTAGAGGCTAGCCAAGCAAGGACGAGGAAACGCAAGCCACAGCACGATCGCGTCTGCAGTACAACCCCTCTCGCCTTTGACCCTGCAGCAAGGTGCTCCGCTGTGGCGGGTTTCAGAAACGAGGTTTTCTGGGTAACCAGAGGATGCCACTGAATGCAGTGAAGACTGAATGTGCAGGCAGGGACGAGGCTCAAGAGGAGCAGCGAGCGAGAGTGAGTGGGAGCGGGGCTGCGGTGACTGTTTGTATGTATGCGACAGGCCCCTGTACGGACAGCGGACAGTGGACGACGACGATACCGACGAGACTGGACGAAAGAAGGGAAGCGACGGCCAGATGTGATTTTGATGACATTGGCATTTGACGAACTGGGGTTTGAAAGTACGAAGCAATCTGCTGTGCCAAGGCAGGTCGTTGGTAGCGGCTGGGCGGGATACCTGCCTGGGAGCCGTTGATGGGTGAGCGGAGAGGTACCTCGTAAAGGGCAAAAGGGATGCAAACGGCGGTGGCAGCGAGTGTCGTACCTTGCCTGTAACTTAGTAGGCGCTGACAGCCAGCCCCTGAAATGCTGACTGCAAACGGGCAACTTGGGGTGACCGACAGCTCATTGCAGATGACTGTGGATGACTTCTCGAGTGAATCCGTGCCGACAGAGGAATGAATAAGTGACCGACTTATGATAAAGCAAAGCATCACCACTGCCATTAGCTACCTCTACCACTTACTATCCCCTTGCTACCAGGTACCAGCTAGGGGTGGGCCTGGCTATACCCGCTGTATCCCCTGCGCTTAACATCTGTGCAGCCTGCCAGCTGTGAGTGGTCCTAACCCCTGGACCCATCCAGGGCCGCTGACCAGTGGCAGGCTCGCAGTTGCCAGTTGCAGTTCAGTGAATCCTTGCCTGCCACTAATGTGCCCAGTCAGTGGCTGCTCGCCCAAGCCTCTTTTCCATCTTGGCCTCCATCCGCCACCCACCCTCTGGAATGCTCCCTTGCCTCTGACCGAATCTAACATCGCTCCCCAGAAGCTCTCCTCTTCATCACCTTCTTCTCATCCACTCCCTTTCTCGCCATCTCCTTTTCTTCAAACGCCAGTTACAAATATCCATCGCCGGCCTTCGTTTCGACTCCCAGCCCTCTTTTTTTCTTCTCTGCAACCTCGACATCACCAACTTTGACTAGCTGGCCCTAGCCTCTCCTCCCCGCTACTAGTGCCGTATCCAACGTCAACCCACCCCCCCTGGGCCGATCGTCATTGCCGTGCCTCCTTGGCTCTCGTCGATTTTGATTCACTCGACAGTCAAACCCCTTCGGCTTTTTCCAAGTCCGCCCTTTCTTTGGCCTTTGATCGACCGCGACGCCATCTCCGCCCTCACATTTCTTCCTTGCCAAGTCGCGCGCTTTCGCCATCCATTCGTTTGCCTTCTTGGTCGCTCGCTGTAGCCTTTTGTGCTTCATGACCAGCTTTGCATTCTGAAACCTCCGCATCGAAAAGCAAAAGTCCCATACACGATAAACAAACAGCCATTGTTGTCTAACTAGTTCGATTTTTTTTGCACACTTGGCGCCCTTTTCTGCATCCAGCCGCCGCTGCGTCACTGCCTGAGCAAGGCGCCCTCTTCTTCAACCAATTTTTTACTTATCTTTACTCGCATCGCCCAACAGCCCATTTCTTCGCCGGCTTTTTCGCATCTGCCCTTTCACTTCCTGCATATAAATACTTGCATATTTATATATGCTCACCCTCGGCACTGCTGCCCAGCTTCAAAAGAGGAAATAATCATCCACGCCAATCATCCACGCCACCTCCTGTGGTCGCCTTGTCCACTAGCACCATCTGTGGGGTTGGCGCATTCCTCGCAGCTTCTCTTACACGCCAATCTTTCTCTCCTCTCTCGCCAAAGCGCACCCCTAGCACGCCGCCCTTTCCTATCTGCCGCATTGATGCCTTTTCGTTCTTAATTACAGCCTGACGGACCTTTTTCCTTCCTCAACGGCTTGGACCGTTCTTCACCCACGGCTTCACCCACTGCTCTACAGCATCTTTCCTGGTCTCCCTGGTTTGGAGGCCCACCACTCGACTCTCACTTGACTCTCACTTGACAATTCACTTCTTGTACCGGTCTCTTTTTACTTGCGCCCTCCCTCCGTCCTCCTCAACCCTACCTTCGATATGAACGTTGACCCTCACCGGTTCGCCGGTGCGGTGTCCACGCCAACAACACACACTTTCAACATGCGCACAAGTGAAGAGGTAGAGCAACCCAGTTCGACAATAGCACCCTATTACACATCACTAAATGGAGTCAACCAGCCCTTGAACATGGCCTTCAAGGACGCCCTCTGGCTAACCCTCGGCGGCTTCGGCCTCATCATCCTCTTCATTCGATTCATGGAGATTCTTTGGGCCAAGCTACGCCACGTTTCTGCCATGTCCGACCCTCGGGAAAAACAGACCTACTGGAAAATCTCGCAATGGAGCTGGATGCCCGGTCTGAAAACTAACCTCATATATGCGCCTCTCTGGAAGAAGCGCCACAACCGCGAGATTCGTCTTTCGTCTGCTATCAACGTCGGAACCCTGCCCTCGCGACTGCACATGGTCATCATCATGATCTATCTCGGCAGCAACATGGCCTACATGTTTATCCTCAACTGGACAAACGAAAACAAGTGGGCATTCTGTGCCGAGCTGCGAGGTCGAGCCGGTGTTCTTGCTCTCGTCAACATGGTGCCTCTCATTATCTTGGCCGGCCGCAACAACCCCCTCATTGCCATGCTCATGATCAGCTTCGACACGTATAATCTGCTGCACAGATGGATGGGTCGAATTGTTGTCTTCGAGGCAGTGGTTCACACCATTGCTTGGTCCATCCCCGCCCTTGCTGACGGAGGCTGGCGCAATGTCCAGGAAAAATTCAACACCGACCTCTTCGTCAGCTCTGGCACTGTCGGCACAGGTGCTCTATTTTTCCTTCTCCTCCTCAGCGTTTCTCCTTTCCGCCATGCATTCTACGAAACATTTCTCAACCTGCACATCCTTCTTGCTCTCGTTTCTTTCGTCTGCACCTGGATACACTGCGCTAGCTCCGTCGTCCACGTAGGAGGCCTGCCCCAGCTGCCCTGGATCATTGCTGTCGTCATGATGTGGCTGCTTGACCGTCTCGCTCGCATTGTCCGTCTCATGTACGCAAACTGGTCTGACAAGGGCTTCACCGACGCTCTTTGCGAAGAATTGCCCTGCGACGCCGTCAGAGTCACTCTCCGCCTTCCACGCTACATGGCCATTGCCCCCGGCAGCCACGCCTACCTCCGCTTCTGGGGCATCAACTCTTGGGAAAGCCATCCCTTCTCCATTGCCTGGGTCGACCACGAAACGTACAATAGCCTGCCAATCTCCACCGAGAAGGAGCCTCTCAATGCTGTCGACAAATCCAACACATATACTAATGTGTCCTTTGTCATTGGCGCTCACACCGGCTTCACGCGTAACCTGTTCAATCGGGTAAAGGGAGTCCACGGTGGCATCCGCATCAAAGCCGCCCTCGAAGGACCGTATGGCGGCCATCACTGCCTCGACTCCTATGGACACTGCGTCCTCTTTGCCGGCGCAACCGGCATTACGCACCAAATTTCCTACCTACGCTACTTCCTAGAGGGCTACAACGCCGGCATGGTCGCTACGCGCAGACTAACGCTCGTCTGGGTTATACGAAATGGCGAGTGCCTCGACTGGGTCCGCCCATATATGGACGCTCTTCTGCGCATACCTAACCGCAGAGATATTCTCCGCATCTACCTCTTTGTTACGCGTCCGACTGCACTGGAGAGCATTGTCAGCCCTAGTTTCACCGTCAAGGTGATTCCCGGTCGTCCCAATGTGCCCCTGATCCTCGTCAAAGAAGTACAAGAGCAAATTGGTGCCATGTGCGTCACGGTCTGTGGACCAGGTGGCCTTGCTGATGATGTACGTTCTGCCGTGCGCGCTGTGCAAGGACACACGGTTGTCGATTTCGTCGAGGAAAGCTTTACATGGTGATGGTGGAGTCAAGCGAGCAACACTATTTTTTTTCTTATACCCTTTTATTCTTTCATCGCGGACAAGTTTCTGTTGCATTTACTGGGCCTGGGAAACGGCCTACTTTCTTTCATCTGTATATATTTTGAGGATCTTTCGGGGAAACGTGGCGTGGCATAGAAGCAAGGACCCTCATACTTGTGGACGTATCAACAGCGAGCAGCCGACAATGGCGCCGCATAGACTTGGCATATATAACGGGCGCTGCATGGCATCACACTGTGATGAATACGACATATTTGACTTGTTTTCCAAAGCTTGTGTTGGTCAAAGTGATGACTTGTCCTTGTGAGTGGTGAGCGGATGTACAATTGAATTCTTGTTATAATTATCCAGGTCTTGTTCGTTTACCATTCTATAACGCTAGTAAGCAAGGGCAATGTTCTTGGTACTCAATGGGGATATCGCCCTGATCTTGTAGAGAGGTATATAAATGTTCATTCAAGTGTCTGTATGCAGCCCAAACGCCAACCAACCCCCCATCGCTATATAATGCATCACGCCATCACAAATGTAGAAAAAAGTCAAGCACTTGCACACTACTTTCTCACGCTCGTTCATGCCGTGGCAAGGGCAGCCGGCACCTCGGCCAGCCCTGCCGTCACCTCGGCCGCGAGCCCGTCCAGGCCGCGGAACCCCTCCTCGACAACCCACGCGCGGCCCCTGTCCAGGACGCCCTCGAGCGCGTTGCACGCGCCGCCGACGACGAGCAGGCCCGGGGGCCGGCTGCCCTCTGCTTCGACGGCCTCGGCGACGCGGGCGAGGGTGGTGCGGATGACGCGCTGATCGGGACAGCTGGCGCGCTCGACGACGGCGCAGGGCGTCGAGGCTGGCCAGAGCGTGCGCTGGACGTGTTCCCCGGGCGCGGCCGCGGTGGTGAGCTCACGAACGAGCCCGGTGATGCGGTGCAGGGCCATGAGGAAGACGACGGTGCGCGAGGCGACGTACTCGGGGGGCGCGGGAGCGGCGCCCTTCTTGCCGGTGCCGGTGCACACGAGCACCTGGTCGGCCACGTCGCGCTGCGTCGGGGGGATGCCGGCAAAGAGCGGGGCGGAGAGCGCGCTCGTGATGCCGGGCAGGACGGCGACGCGGTCGCCGAGCCCCCGCGCGCGGAACCACGCCACCTCCTCGCCGCCGCGGCCGTACAGGAACGGGTCGCCCTGCTTGAGCCGCAGCACCGTCTGCCCGGCCGTCACGCCGGCGTGCGCCGTAGCCAGGAGCTCCTCCTGGGCGGCGTCGGCGTTGCCGGGGAACTTGCGCGCAATGTGCACGGGCGTGCGCCGCGGAATGAGGTCCAGCACCCCGGCGGGCACCAGCTTGTCGGCGAGGATCAGGTCGGCGGCCAGGATGGCGTTGTGGGTAGCGCGCGTGAGCAGGTCCGGGTGACCGGGGCCGCTGCCGGCGAGGATGAGCCGGCCGAGCTTGGGGCTACTACTGCTGCTGTGGGAGGGGAGGGAGGAGGAGCCGCTGCTGGGGTAGCTGGTGAGGAGCGTGGCAACGTCGTCGTCGGTGACGGCCGCGAGACGGCTCAGCGGCCAGTACTCGCAGACCTGGCTGAGCCAGCGCATGCGGCGCGTCTTGACGTCTTCGGCCTCCTCTGGGGTGACGAGCTTGTTGAAGGCGGCGCTCTGACCGGTGGTGTCGTCGTCGGCAGCAGAGGCGGCGGTAGCGCAGCGGTCCTGCTCAATGATGCGCCGGCGGGCGTCGCCGAGACGGGCGGTGGCGGCGCCGAGGTGCGCGGGCAGCGAGGCGGCAATCTCGCGGCGAATGCGCGAGGCCAGCTTGCACCCGCGGCCGTTGGTCGTGACGCCCACCTGCAGGGGCCCGTCGGTGTGGGTGGACAGCAGGGTGAGGGTGCAGAGGTCCGGTGCGTCGACGACGTTGACGGGGATGCGCTTGCGCTTGCAGAGGGCAGCAATGTGGGCGTCTGTAAGTGGATCAGCGTCAGCGAGAGTTGTTGGTTTTTTTATATAGGCCTGGAAGAGAGAGAGCAAGGAGAAGATGTTGGGA